CTCAGTTTGTTTTGAGGACTTAGGTGCAGAACTAAGCTTGTGATTGTTCAGCTCATCGGAAGGATGAGGCTGTGGCTGCTGCTTTGCACTGCCCTGAGTTTCACTTGCTTTTGTGAATGGTTCAGCTGGTTTGAAAGACAAAGATGATGGCTATCTGGTGTTGAGGGAAATACAAGTAACGAAGGACTGGCAGAAAGGGACTGTGATGGAGGTGTGCCCAAACTGGAGAGCTGGCTGCAGCATCTACAGCACCAGATACTTCCCTGGCTGTCAGGTTTTGCTGCCCATCTTCTCCCACCTCTGTGGAGGGGGGCCCTCCACATTTTTGAAATGGTTTTAAGTCTGTGGGTTCATTTGGTTTGGGTAAGACATGGGTACTGTTTCACTCCTAGCTTTGGACTCTTTTTTTAGCACCAGTCAGTTAATCTTGGGGGCCTGCCAGTTGGCAGAGGGATGCTGGTGGCTCCAGGGCAGGGAAGGCTTCAGTTTGGGCTGAGGAGGCCACACTGGGTGGGAGTGACAAACGCATCCTGTCCAATAACATAACAGACAGGGGAAGGCTGACATAAAGGTGGAAAAGTTCATTTCAAGAATGAACCTTCTTATTCTTTGGAATTCTGAATGCTTTTGTGGTCCTGAGGCCTCCCAAAATAATTAAATCTTGATYCTGCAGGTGCAGCAGCTTGTTTTATGCTGTCATGTATCTATTATAGTACTAAGGGTCCAAGCATGGGTTTAATTTAGGAGTAAGGGCCTTGATGTACCTCTTAATATTGCTGTAACTCAGTTCCAGAGCGTGTTAAAATGGTTTTTCTTCGTTCTCTAACTTGACTGTGATCTGTGCAATGCTTAAGACAGAATAACCCTTAGCAATTGTTTACAGCAATGACAGATCACAGAGGGAAAAGGAGTATTTCGGCATGGGATTGGATCTTAGATGTGATAGGAAAAACTGAAACATGAGCTCCATTGTTTACCTGGCAGTGGGACAGAAGAAGGGCACAGCTCCACGAGACCTGTACCCATGGCTGAGGCTGAAGAGAAGGGTGTGGGACCCTTGGCCGGGCATCTCTGTGTTCTGCCCTGGCACAGAAGCTGCCCAGCCAGTTCATCACTTACCAGTGTGTGCTGAGCAGGAGGCACAGAGGATGTTCCCATCATCAGGAAGTCATCACGAGCTATTGTGCTGACTTAGCGTGACATTATCAAAGAGAGAGGATAAGAGGRAAAAAAGCCATTCATTGAGCACATTTGTTTCCAGGCAGTACAGAAAGAGGAGCTGTCTTCAGCTTTAAGTGTGTTGATTGTAAAGTATTTTCACACCAGCACATGGTGACTAATACTCCATGCAGTCATGTTCCCCCATCATTTCTGATGTGGTTGGGGTGCAGCTGCAGGAAGATGTTCAGTTAACCCCAGTCAAGCACCTGACAGTGTGAAGGAAAGGCTGTTTGTGCTCAGAGTGCTGTTCTAGCAAAAGAACTTTCTGGAATCAGGACTGCACCTTAATGGCTGTGTGTTTTGTAGGGGCAGCCATAGGGGATGGGAGCTGAGAGGAAGTTGTTGGGACAGAAGGACACAGGAGAAATGCACRTCTGGCTGAGCTCTTGAAGGCTGTCACTAAATGTGGGGGGCAACAAAAACATCTTATTGGCATTTTAGGACTGGAGAAGCTGGGAATGTCCGAACATCCTCTGAAGACATACATTGGTTTTGTTACAAATRTCAGCAGTGCCTCTCTAGAAATTTGATTCCAAGTTTAATGAACTTCTGATGGCATTTGCATGTTCTGCAACCAGAGAAAACGTATCTAGCTGCAGTTTTCAGTCTCTCARTCATTGAACTAATGAGATGTGACCTCTGTTTCCCAGAGTTTGGGACACTTATGTGCCCATGAGTCTATAAAACTATGCCAGGTAAGAAGTGTGTGTATATATATATATTTATGTGTGTGTATGTATACATATATATATGTATACATACATATATATGGGCACTGGTTTGCTTTCAGTGTGGTCTCTTRAAAAGAATTGGGCAGTGGCCAGTGCTGACCTCAGTCTTTTTGTGGGCTAAATTAATGTCTTTATTCTGCTTGGCAGTGTRGGCCAAGAAGAATTTTTAAATGAATGCAAGAATTTATGGTGTGCAAGATGTCTGACAGTATCCTCAGTTGTTTTTGTGTTTCATCAGTGTGGTGTTACAAATGGGCCTGTGTAATGCAGAGGAGACCCTTAGGGTTGACAATGTGAGTGGTGTAGTGGGAGGGGCTGTGCTGRGGCCCTTTCAAGTGAGGAAATATCCATCTTGCACTGTTGGTGGAAGTAATTATTAATCTGTTTTCATTTGATGAAAGAAAAGCCCAGTAGATGTCATTTCATGTTTAAATGTGAAGTTGAGGCATAAATTAGTGTCCTGCTGTTGTTGATCTAGGCATGAATTTGATATGACACACAAATTCTGGATGTCACTGGCTGTACAAAATAAGTGTGTCCTGCAGGAGGGTGAGTTTTAGGCTTGTCCATTTTTATGATCCTATACCTCTGAAAGAAAAACTGAAGAAACTCCCCCATAATTTTTGATGTAGGARGGGGAAAAAGATCTGGTGGTCTGGCGTCCCTGGAAGCTCAAAGCAACCAGAGCAGAAACAAACACTCTGCATTTCTTCTTCCTCTTGCAGCTCAGCTTCAGCTTCTCCCGTGTTCCCTGCCAGTGAGTGGATGTTACTCATATAAGGAGCCTAAAAGTCAGCAGATGGAAATTATTGGAATGGAGAGAAAGGGGGGCCTTGAGTGTTCTTTGCTTGAAAGCTTGGTAGGTGCAAGCTCTGCCTCTTGCACAGTGCTGTGAGCCCATGTAGAGAACCTGCCAGATGAGGAGAACTTCAAAACCAGAGGAGGTTTGTGCCTGGGTCCCCACGCTGCTGCATTTAATGAGGCGTGCTGGCTTCTGGCAGCTTTCCCACTGGCTGCCATGCCAGGCCACTGCCTCTCATTAGGTGGGATGTTTTTAGGCACTGGATTGAACTTRCTGGTTGGTGGTGGTCTGCTTTTTACACACTCCATTTTACAGAGCTAGCGCCAAGCTACTAAATTATTAAGCTGGAGTTTTAATAGAAACCCCTGTGTAGGCTTAAATTGTTTCCACTCTATTTGGAGTTTCCTGCTCTGCTGGTTTTTATTTTGTCCCGTGCATGAAAGTGTGGAGGGAGGAATTCACAGGAAAACACAGAAGCAAAGAGGAAGAATTCAGCCTGAACAGTAGGAAGTACAGATGAAATGAAAGGTCAGTTGGTGCTCTATCCAGCTCTGATGGARATGACTGGGGGAAAATGCCCCCTAATCCTTTTGACAGTTCAGCAGAAACTTGTGTGTTTGTTTCCAGTGCTGTTTGTAACTTAGATTTCTCAATGAAATATTTTCTTGCCCAACTATTTTTGACCTCTTCCCCAGGGCTTGAAAGGGGCATTTGTCAGCACATGCAGCTACAGCACTTTCTCCCCAGTGCCAAACCTTGCTGGTAGCAGCGGGATGGCAGAGCTCTCTCTGCTGGGGCCTCCCTCCTCAGTGGGGCCTTCCAGCATTGCACCATTTCCACCCATCCTCGCTTGCTGCAGGCTCTCCCCTGCAGACCCACAGCACTGGGCATGGGTCAGGGCTGYTCTGTGCTGTGTGAGCCAGGTCAGGTCAGCACCGTGTGTTTTCTCAGCACTGCACTGATAATTGTGTTGTCCCTGATGACAGGTATGGGCACTGKCCTCCACCAGATCGTCAGCTCTGTAACACAGTTCAGGAGAGGGATGGTGCTTGAACCTGTGTTTCTTGATAGACCAGGAGTTCTCAGCATCGACTTCCTGAGGCTGCTTCATCATGAGCAGTGACCTCGTTCCTCTGGGAGTAATGAGATGGGAGAGGTTTAGGAAAACAGTGGTAAGAGATTGCAGTGGGCTAAAACTGCCCTGTGTGTGTGCTCTGCTGCCCTTCACTCACACCACTGTGGGCTTATTCTGAGTCCCAAGCCATGGGACTGCTTTCCACAAGGACATCCCAGCTGGAAGAGCACTGCAGTCACTGAGGTTGTTGAGTACAGCTACAGTGAGCCAAAGCAACTGAGCTTTGAGTGTGCACTTGAGGCCTTGGAGCAGACTGTTCCCAAACCTTTGGAATATGTGGTACATCTTCGGATATGTAAAACAGCTTAAACCATCTGACTGGGCTTGTGTGGAAGGCACTGGCAGCTACTGGCTGAATCCCACCTGGGGATTGTAGGTCTGGCTGAACAGAAAAATGGGCTGTGAGTTATAAAGGCTGCCTTCATCACTCCATGGCAGGAACAGCAGTGCAGTTCCTGTCATTGTCATCACACTCAAACCATGTTTGGGTACTGACTGTGTTKAATTGCGTGGCTAATTTACTTAATGTCTCTCCTGGGGTCACTTATAACACTCTTATTTTTGGGTTTCAGGGAAATTAGGGACACTAGCAATCCATTGTGGTTCTCTCAAGGCAGGAGTTTTCCAGATGACAATGGTAATAACAGCTGTGGCTTAGTTTCAGAGTAACCTGGCTAAACCAAGAAAAATTAGCACTGGCAACTGTGATAGAGCTTAATGCTTGCAAATGGATGATCTCTCTTGAAAATGTAGTTCAGGCACAGGCAGAGGGTTCCCTGTATTTGGGTGACTTGGAGGGTGTGTGTGTTGGTTTATTGGGAAATCCCTGGCAGCGCCTGTTGGCTTTCAGGCCTGCAAATGAAGGATTTTCTGAACAGATATTGAGGTATTTGGGTGTAGCAGTGAGGTATATTCCCCCTGGTACACAATTATGGATCATCCCATTCCATGACAAGCTGGTTGTGTACCCTATGAGGAGTCCTCTGTGGCTGTTTCCTCTTGTTTGTGGTTAGTGGGGCACCTAAGGCGGTTGCTTTTGGAAAGGATGATGTATTGAAAGGTCTGTGACTACCTGAGCTTCATGAGCCTTGCTCTGCTCATTTTTCCACAGATGGACCTCTCTGTGGAAACTCTCTACAGCCTGATGCAGGAGCGCCAGAAGAAGTACGCCAAGTACGCAGAGCAGATCCAGAAGGTCAACGAGATGTCTGCCATCCTGCGCCGCATCCAGATGGGCATCGACCAGACAGTGCCGCTGATGGAGCGGCTGAACAGCCTCCTGCCGGAGGGGGAGCGCCTGGAGCCCTTCTCCATGAAACCCGACCGCGAGCTGAGGTCATAGCCTGCGGCAGCTCCCCCTCCTCAGCCTCCACGCTCTGTGTGGGCACGGACGCGCTTCCAGCGTGCGCACAGGTGGGCGTTGGGAGCCGCCGGACACTGCCGGGGCACTGGAGGGAGAGCAGTGCCAGAGCCGGAGCCGCAATCCAGGAGCTTCCTGCAGGAGATGATTTGTTGTGCTTTCATCTCCCTCCTCCTGCCCTCCCGTCTCCTTTGCCACTACACTGCCCGTGCAGACTCATTTGTTTCATTGCTGTGACTAGTTGGTGTTTACAGAGGAGGAATTTTCTTTCGTCTGACTTATTTAATTTTTTTTACTAAAATAGTTCAATGGGATACAGGGTGTGACAAACCCTGCTAACATGGTTTTTGTGCCACTGGGTTTTAGACAATTAGATGGCTGGAAGGTATTTCTGAGATCTCCTGGCGTTGAAAATACGTCTGTTTTATAAGTCAAAGTGTGGGAGCCAAGAACTGGCTTATTAAAATCTGCCCATTATCATCATTAACATGGTTTGCACGGCAGGGTTTTGGCATGTCCTTGAGGCTCCTGTCTCTGTGGGCTCACTGATTTATGAGGCTGTAAAGGAGTAACTGTTCTAGATATGTTTTGTCTGTTAATGTAAAGCAAACCTTAGCGTTCCTTTCCCCCTTGGCCTGGCAATGTCCTCATGCCCCAGCTGGTGGCATTCCGTGTCCCTCTGATAGACACCAGTAGCAGCCTGCTCATTTGGAATCCCAAAGCTGGACACAAGGTGTCTTTTTCAAGTGGGACACTCCAGTTATCTTGGTGCTGTCTTTTTCACCAGTGGGGTGCAGCTGCTTCTTTACCTTCAAGTGGTGGAGGGGACAGACCTGAGAAGTCCTTTGGCTCTTTGTGTTGGCTCAGGTGCCCTTGTGCCGAGAGCTGGCCTTGGCACCCTGCTGGATGACTGAAAGCACATGGCCTTTCTCAGCCACCTGCTCCAAAGGCARCAGGGTGTTCTTGCCTTCTCCCAGTCAAACCAAGGCTGCAGTGCCCRTGGACCCCAAAGGTTGTTGTGTGTCAGGAATGCAGTTCCAGTGGTGAGCACAGTCAGGGACAGCCCAGCTTCCAGTGCAGCACAAGGCTGGGTCACTTGCCAAAGGCAGCTTGCTTTAATACGTCTTAGTATTTGAGAGCATTTATTCAGCCAAAAGTTGTCACTGAGCAGTTGGAAGTAGGAGTGCAGCAGGTTTTTGATTGTAATAATTACTGCCTGGAAGCAGCAGAAATCTTTTTTCATGCCCAAAGGTCACGTAGTGTGCAGTGAATTTTTGTCATGCAGAGTGTGGCCAACTTAGATGGGCATCTGAAGCACAGTGGTGACTGGATCCCAGGGCCTGCTGAACACTGTCTGAAAGCAGAGTCCTGTAGAAATGAAGCCCCCTGGAATGATGCCCTGGGCAGAGGGACTGGCTGCTTCAGGGAGGSCAGGGAACTCAGCAGGAGATTTTTTTTAGCAAAGGCAGCAGAGTGGGTCTCCTTGCCTGATGCTCCCAGCCCAGAGGTTTTACACAGTTGTACATACATAGGCATATGCTGTGTGTTGCACAGGATAGAACACCAGAATTCCATCCTTAGTCAAGCTTCCTGCCATTTTTTACACTTGGTTTGTTAAAAGTGTACTCGAGACTTAGCCCATGAAAACCTCCTTGTTGTGGCCATGCCCTTGCAGGTAGGTCCTCATTGTCCATCGTGAAATATGTCTCTGCCTCCCACCATCAGACACACAAGAATATTGAGCTGCTTTAAATASTGGCTGCAGCCATTTTTGTCCTCTGTGTCCAGATGATGCTGTCTGGATGTTTAAAATGTCTGGCAGAGATTCAGCTGTCTGCCAGCTGGGATCACAAATATCCCACACCCTGATGTGCTGGAAGCCTGTGCCAGTGGGAAGGTCTTGATACTGGATCTCAAGGCAGATGCTCTCTCCTGTTAAGACACTTCTCTAAGGCTTGTAGACATTTGGCCTCAGGCCATTATCAGATCAAAGCATTGCTCCCTGCAGTGCTAATGAGGGCAAGGGAATAGTATTCCCACTGAGGCTGCAGGAGCTAGGGCTGCAAATCAGTTCCTTCCTCATTTGCCAGAAAACACCAAGGCATTGGGCTGAGAAYGGGAGAAAGTGTTTGTTCCTAGGAACCATGGACTGGAATTTTGTGKCTGTGCTGCTGGGCCTCACAGACAGAGCTGCTCCAACAGCAAGGGCAGGTTGTGGAAGGCATAATAACTTCACTAGAAGGAAATWGGAGCTGAAATGTGAAAACTAACCTCTTCAATGCTCACATGTCWTCGCCTCTGTTCCACAGGTAACAGTCTCTCATTTGGGTACTGTCAGAAGTGTGCACCCTCAAACTGTCCTCAAACAATGGTTTACAGTTTTATTTAAAAAATTGTCACTGCTTTCAGGAACTGTAAGTCTTTGGCCCTCTCACTGAGGGGGAGACATGTCCTGCCACATCTTGAGCTGYTGTTTGTTGCTTGGCTGCTCCTTGTTGGCTCTGCTCCACACGCTGCTTTCATATTCAGCTCAGGTGCAGGTGATGTTCAGAGTGAGACTGACACTTCCCTCCGCTGTTCAGCAGGAGCTTTGAGATGTCACTGGAATTACCTTTCTGCTTATGAATTCCCTCTTCCAAGCCAAACACTCCTGGGAGGAGGCCTCAGGTATCTTTTGTGAATGTAGCAGCTTTTATCTGCCACAAATTTAGTGCTGTGAACAGGGAATAATCTGGTGTGCTGCACTGAAACCAGACWTTGCTGCCCTTTTCTGCTTCCTGAGGTGGTGTGTGGTCTGGGGTACAGGCTAAGCTCCTTGATAAGTGATCTTGTGAAAAGTTGGGGAGCTGGACAAGTCACWGGGGCTGTGGTTGTCCTCTGGCCTGAGCTGCTCTGCCTTTCCCCTGACTCTGCTGTTGCAAGTCCACTGTTKTGCTGCCACTGGTGCTCGTTGTGTCCCACGCTGGTCACTGCTGCCCACGCAGAGCAGGTTTGCTTTGTTGTTTCCGTTGTTTTTGTCATTGAATGCATTGACAGGGTGCTAAAGTGCCAACTTACCTGCAGGGCAATTCCTGTGAAGATCTGGTGAAGGGGAGAGAAAAGAGTTTTTGTTGTTTTTTTTTAATATGTGTATTTTAAATTAAATATATTTAATATACTTAAATATTTAATGTGTGTTTTGCCCTCCTGTTAGGTTTTACACAGAGAGTGGGAATGCAGGTTTTCACAGGCCCATTGGTTCTGTGAGCCAGCCCCTCTCTCAGACTGTGTGCCTGTAGATTCCCAAGGTACTGCTGTAAGGTTTCTTGGTTCCCAAGCTGCCAGAGGGTATTTTGATTCCCAGCCTTGAGGCTGAGCACTCCATGGTTTATGGAGTTCAGCTGCCTTTGTGCTCTGTGTTCCACAGCTCCAGCATTAAACCTTTTGGTGTGGCTCTTTTCCAAGTGTGTTGTTCCTCCAGTTGCCTCATTGCTCATTTTCCATTCCTGCTCCTCACCGCAGTGTTTGGGCAGTGCAGGCTCAGCTCAGCTTTACTCTGATTTCAGCTGCCCTGGCATTGTGAGGAAACACATCCCCAGAATGAAGGTAAATGCTGGTGGGTTTTGTTTCTCCCCAGTACTGTCCCAGTTCTGGTTTTCACTGATGTCCAGTTCAAGTACAAGATAYGAGCAGTGATGCTTGGCATTCACCAGCAGTGGGTGGCAGCTACAGCCTCACAGAAGCTCCTGGGGTCTGGGGGAAGAGAGGAGCATTCAAAGGGCAATTCTTGCTGTCAGCTGCCAGTAATAACCCTTCTTGTCTTTTTAAAAGTTTCGTGTTTTTACAGATAGAGGGTGAGTGCTGACCCCATAGGGATRGTYGACAAGGTGGTGYTAAGTTGTAGGTTGGACTCGRTGATYTCAGAGATCTTTYCCAACCTCATTAATTCTGTGATTCTGTGAAATACAGTGGCCTGCTGTGGGACAGTGACACAACCAGAGTCACACGGGCTGCACATTTTGTCAAAACACTGGGTATGTGAACAGCCGTTCTGCAGAGAGGGATTTGAGAGAACTTCCCAGTGCAATTTCTTTGTGTATTCCTGCAAAAGGGCTTACCTGCCCCAGGGCTGGGCAGTGCTGGGGATGGGCAGTGACAGTGCTGGGATCTGCAGAGCACCACTGCACTTCCTGCTGCACTTCCTGCTGCAGGAGCATCTCTTGGGAACCTGGCAGGCTTAGGGAATCCCAAGAGGGAGCTGCTTCCTGCAGGAACAGGTTACTCTAATACTTTATCACTGGTTCAGAGGCAAATAAGCACCTGCAGGACTATCCTCATGGCATTTGAAAAGCAAAGTGGTGAAGGACTCTCACCTGCACAGGGGATACTGAACAAAGAAAGAGGCAAATTTACAGGGTTTCTTTTTGTTTTGCTGGTTTTTGTTCT